GGATAAGAGCCCTGGGGTAGGGGAGAATCTAGAAGTAGAAACTTTCAGAAGAAGAGTCAGGACCCCAACCTTTAACTCAGTAGCCAGCTCTCTGGCTTAGACTAAACCCTGTATTTGCTTGTGCCTCAGTTCCCCAGCAGATAAGACCAAAAATAAAATAATAATAACAATACTTTCTTATCCTCCTACCAGTCTCAAAGGGATGACACATACATAAATCACTTTGAACTTTTAGATGAAAGGTGCTCTATAAACCCAAGGTCTCATCAACTGTAATTGTTACGGTAATTATTTTAATGATAATAATGATGATAATGGGAGATGGGAGGGGGTGTGGAGAGGAAACCTCCTACCCCAAGACAAAGAAAAACTCGTGGGTTAAAACCTGCATCAGGATTCCTTCTGCTCCTAGCTCTCAACCATTTCTTTTAAACTGCCAGTTCCTGAGGTGAAATATTATTTACTCCTTTCCTTTCCAATAAAACAATTATTTGTTCCACCGTTTTCCATCTCACTCACTCTCTGGTGTGTCTAGCTTCACCCTGACAGCTCAGCCATGGACTGTTTACACGTCTCGCTCACCCTCCAAGACTCTGGTTCAGCTCCATTGACACTAAAGGCAGGAGAATTCTCTCCATGTGAGAAATCAATTACTTCCGCTGACACTCTATTACTAGAGCTCACTTCTTCTGATTCCAGATGGAGAGTGAAGGTGGTGGTGGGAATGGCAGGGAATTTGAAAGGGTTAGGGGGGACGGGGTGGGGAGAAGGTGGATGACAGGGAGGCAGACAGAGACTATTGACTGAGAGTCAGGTCTTTAGCTTTGTATTTAAAGACACAGAAAGCTATCTCTCTCCTTGATTGCCCTGCCGGAATCCGGAAGGTGACCACATGGCAGAAAGAGGCAAAGAAAGGAATAAAAAAGAGAAAAGGAAAAGGCTTGTCAAGGATATCTAAAGAAATCAGAGAGGGCCCAAATACCTAAGCGCTGGGACAGCTGATGACAGCTCTTTGGCAGATTGACACAGGCATAAGGAGGCAGCTTTGGTGGAGGAGAAAGGTTGAACATGATTCGAAAAATTGACTGCCTGTTTTCAAATCCTAGCCCTACCATTACTATCTGTGTGATCTCTCAGGGCCTCAATATCTCCATCTGTAAAATGGGAATAAGAGTCCCATAATGTTGTTGTGGGAGTTAAATATGGAAAGTTCTTTGTTTTTTAATATTGTACTTTAGATGAAGGTTTACAGAACAAACTAGCTTCTCGTCAAACAATTAGTACACATATTGTTTTGTGACATTGGTTGCCAACCCCATGACATCTCAACACTCTCCCTTCTTGAACTTGGGTTCCCAGTCACCAGCTTTCCTGTCCCTCCTGCTTTCTAGACCTTGTCCCTGGGCTGGTGTGCCCCTTTAGTCTCGTTTTGTATCATAAACAAAACACCATGTATCTCCTGACACATAGTATAAGTGCAATAAATGTTTGCTATTATTGTCCAGGAGTTCCTGGGTGGTGCAAATGGTTAATACACTTGGCTACTAGCGGAAAGATGGGCAGTTTGAATCCACTCAGAGGCATCTTGGAAGAAAGGCCTGGCAATCTACTTCTGAAAAAAATCAGCCAATGAAAACCCTACGGAGCACAGTTCTACTCTGACACACGTGAGGTTGCCATGGGTCAGAGTCGGCTCTATGGCAACTTACTGTCTCACTGTCAGTTCCAACAAACCACCTACAAGCATATAGTTGAGTATCTAATGGGGTGCAGCAGAAAAATATATGGAGACTGCCAAGATGCTTGGCCACAAAGCTAGGGGGAAAAGGGCATAAAACATCATGTGGATTTTCCTTTATCATGTGGAGCCCTTTGCTGTCCTCCGAAACCTAAGTGCCCAACTTACATATTTTTCTTCCTTCTTTCTTTATGTTTAAATTTTATTTTGACTCAGCTAACATTTTATCAGGGAATGCCCTTCTAGGAAAAAAATTTTGATTATGTAAATTATATCCAACTGTCTACTTTGCAATCAACTGAGATGAGTTGTGAGCACTGGGCCCCATTATGAAGGACGATTATGGAAGCTCCTTTCTAGAAGGAAAGACAAGGGCAACTAATATATTTTTTTTTCCCTCAGATGATCTATCTGGGCAGAAGTAGAAGAATGGAATTAAATTACCTCTTGAGTCTCTCTTAATCCAAAGGTTTATGTCTCCCTGCCACTAAAAGGAAAAAAACAAAAATTTTTTTTTTTTCTACAGGACTCACAACTATAGAAAAATACATCCCTTTTTAGAAAAATCTCATTTCTTTACTTGGTTTATTTCCTTTCTCTTTTTTATCCCTTCCACACTTGGAGCTCCCAGTGATTTCTTATGACAAACTCTCACACAATGTAATTAGATAGGAGAATTACATGGAGTTACATGGGGTGAGATACCGGCCCTCTGGGATCTCTGGGTTCAGAGAGGGTGCCAGGGTTGAGAGGCAGAACGAGTGGGATTGTGTATTATAAAATCTCAAGTGATTTCCTCAATCAGAAGATAAAATGCATTGTTAAGAAAGGACGTCCACAGCGAAGCTTGCATTTGGACAATCATGATCGCAGCATTGTGTATTTAAAAACAAACTGCCAAAAATAACCGTTGTCCTAACTGCTCTTTAACCTTGGTGGAAGGCGGAGGACAATCTATGGGTTGCTTTTTTCCCACTTATTTGGCAAGTACTGGGTGGAGTCCTTGGTTAAGGTTGGCGAGCGTGGGGTCAGCTGCCAGCTGAGCTCTCGTTAGCAGGACTGTTTCCATTTATTGCACCATGTACCTGGAGGTGGATCTGTTTCTGTCGTTAGAAGGGTTGTTGCAAAACACAAAAGGATTACTGCTCGTCAGTTCCTTGGTGCAATCACAATATTTCTGTGGTTCGGCGGGCAGTCCATCCGTAATAATGTTACGGGTAATCAACCTGAGGGTCCCTCCTAGGCTCAAGACACCCTCGTGAACCATAAAGAACTCTCACTCTGCTTTATTGGATTTCCAGAGACTCCTCCAGACCCAGCTGAAGCCACACCTCCATTGGGCAATCTGGCCTCTGGCCCTCTATTCACAGGACAGAAGCTGGTATTCAGGGAGAGCTCTATGTAGGAGTGTAAACTGAGAAGCGCTTAATCCAAAGTGCTACCTGGACTTTTCCAGGCCAAGCCCCACTTTCAAGCATTACAATGAGTGTTGCTGGCCATAGGGTATGAAACTGCAGAGGCCCTGGCCAGGGAGGGTGGGGGCATTGGAGAGTCCCCATAATCTCTGTCTGTCCTGCTTCCTGCCCACAGACAGTCCTTCTCCCTAAGGAGATGGTGGAAGTCGCCTGGCCAGGAAACACATTAAATCGCACTTGTTCAGGCATTCTCTTTACTGGGAAGGAGGTTTGTACTAGCAAGTTACAGGGACAGCCCTTCTTACTCTATCCTTACAACACTCACACAAAAAAAAAAAAAAAAAAACATTGCCCCTAATTGATTCCAACTCACAGACACCCTACAGGACAGAGTGGAACTGCCCCATAGGGTTTCCTAGGCTGTAATCTTTACGGAAGCAGATCGTCACATATTTTTCACGTGGAGCGGTTGGTGGGTTTGAGCCACCGATCTTACAGTTAGAAGCCAAGTGCTTAATCACTGCACCACCAGGGGTCCTCGGACAATACTCACAGGGAAGGAAATTGAGTTCAGCCATGTTCACTTACTGTGGTTCCCAAAGGCATCAAACTCTCTCCCCTTATCTTTGAACAGGCTGCTCTCTGCCTGTACCATCTCTGACACACACTCCACCTTTGCCTGGCTAACCTCAGCTGAGGAAACTGAGGCCTGGGAAATTGTACAGCTGAGGAAACTGAGTCTCAGGAAGTTTAAAAAGATTCAAATCTAAATCTGCCTGATCCCAATATGACACTGCCTGGCCTCTGTTACAAAAACTGATGTTTAGAACTAGAAGCCTGAATCATCAAGAAAAAGTTGACTCTCCTTAATGTTGGTTTTCTTCAAGAATGGGAAGTGCAGCACATGCTTTAGAAAGAATGTATCAGGAAGTTTTAAAAAAAGAACTTTTGGAACTGTAAAGGACATTTAAAGTATCTGGAAATGTCACTTAGATGAAGCAGCGTTCTTTAATGATATATGGTAAATAGATATTGTTGTGTAGCACATAAGACACAAAATCATTAAGATTGCTTTCTTATAAAGTTTTCCGCTTCAGCAATGTCCTTTCACGCCTTCCTAGGGGTTTTTGCACTTTGCGAAATATGTTTTACAAGGTACCCATTTGGAAATTACCAATTCTTAAAAGAACTCAAACTCTTCACTTTGGTTTTACTTGGTGGAGCCTCTGGGGTGGGCTGGGATGCCACACCTGGCTGAGGGCTCATGAATAAGCTGCGCATCACATGCAAGTCAGCGTTTTAAAAAAAATACACATACATTTTTCATTTCAGAAGTGGAAAAAATGCTCAACTTTGTGTGTTTCTAAAACCAGAACACTCAGCCCGCTGGCTGATGACTCAAGGGAAAGGCCTGTCTGCCAGCCGAAGAAGCAGCATCCTCGTTACCACCACAGAGATGAAGTGGCTTCTCCCTGTGTGTCCAGACAGACTTGAGGCCTGCCCTTTTGTCCCTTGGCCACATGAACCCAGCAGTACCACAGCAGCCCCAGAGCAGTCTATGGGTGCTGGGGGCTGGGATCTCCACAAGTGGCCAGAGGGAGGACTCAGTGGAAGCTCACCAGAGATGGTGGCCTTGGGTGGCACTGACTCAGGCAAAGTTGAGGCTTGTGAGTGAAATTTTCCAAGCAGACAGCAAGCTTGAATGGAACAAAATTAACAAGTGGCAGTTAAGGGGAAAAGGCTGTCGGGTTTATTCAGCAACAGCCTCGACCTTTGCAATGTAGATTTCAAGGTACAGAAAGTAAAGGGTTTAGGGGCCACTGCCCTGGATAATCCTTTCCTATCAGGGCCCTGTTCCCAGCTAATCATGCACGTAGGTAGGAGTGAGGAAAACATGAGGGCAGGCATGCTGACCACTGCTCTTTCTCCCTAGCTGGGATGGCCCTTTTTTGTCTGACTTTCTTACTCATTTCCTCTTTTAGCTAGTGTCTTCCTGCTGTGTTCTATCAACAGCAGGACAGTTGAGGCAGTTTTCTTTTGGGAAGTATCCACCCTATGGGCATGGAGAGCCGAATCCAATTTGGAACATGTGCCCAAAATGAAAGGAGAAACGAGGCTAATTTCCTTTCATAGTAAGTGCTTTCCAAACCCAGGAGCTCCCGTGGAACAAAAATGGAGTACAGAAGAGAGAGGGAGGGCGGGAGAAAGAGGGCAAGAACAAGACAGAACTTCCAGGACTTCAATCAGATTAATCGCTCCTTTCACAAGAAAGTAAAACAAGGAGGTGGGGGAGGAGAAGCCAGTTTATTCTGAATGTAAATAAATGGCCAGGCAGCAATGTGAAAAAATACCTTGAGGAGGGAGAAGTTGAAGGAACCAGATTTGTCTTTCAAAATACAAAAAGTTAATAAGAAAGAGAGAGAGAAAGGAGGAGTGGAAGAGGAATGGGGGAGGGGAGGGGAAAATAAAAGACAAGGTTAAGCAGTTGAGGCTTAACCCCAAACAGAGCCTGACGATTGGGGCATTGAGGGGAAGGCACTCCCAAAAGATTTTTTTCTGACCTTCCTGATCTTTTAGGTGCAAGTCAGAAGCATGGGATGGGGTAGTGAGGAGAAAAACAGGAAGCTACTTAGTAAGGATGATAAATCAGAAGATAATCTGCAACTCACCACTTCCCCTACTCCAACTTCAGCAAGAGGCAGCTTCTTCGTCCCTTCTGTTGTCAGAGGCACAACAGGGATCAAGTCATGTGAAGGTAAGGGTTACCTTCCAGCCCACAGCAGGGCAAGGGCAGGTTTTTCTGACTTTTCATACTTCCCAATATGCTTTCAGCCATGCTCACTAGTTCCCGAATTTTTCCTTTCGAAAGCTGCGCCTTCCCCCATCTGCCACCATAAATACAATATAAGATGACCTCTTAGCAATTTCCCTGGGAAATCTGCTGGCATAAGCATTAATAGAATTTGGCCCTCAGTCGAGAGAGGTGCTTAGCCAAATTTCTCTGAGCTCAGACCCAAGCTTTCTGTACATTAGGCTTCAGTGTGTGCCAACCCCCTGCAGCCCAGCCAGAGGAACCAGGACCAAAAACACCTTATGCAAAGAAGCTCTTCGAACAGAAATACTTGGTAAAGTTCACTGTCAGGGACTCGGAAGTCTGCAGATGTTGGGCAAATGTATCTGGTGTGTGCATTTCACTGAGGCAAAGAGGAACTGATGAGTTACCCTATGTTATCCACTGGGTCGAGGGTGGATCTGGGATTAGAAACTGTCTTATGACTCTTAGTCACATGAAGCATCCATCCGGGAAAAACCCTTTGCTTTTCAACAAAGACTACCTCTTGTTGGGAGAAAACCATTATGCAGGTGCAAAGTAGTCCTAGGAGGATAATAATGGCATCAATTCACTGAGCCTCACAGTGTAGCATTAGTTAAAGAGGGGCCTTGTTTCCTCCACGAGGAAGCCAAGGGCCAGACCCAGGCCTGCTCTGAAATACGTGCTAGGAGTGTCGCCTGCTCCTTGCACCTTTCCTGCCAGCTGGACCCCTTTCTGAATTTTCAGTACTCCCACTGCCTTGGTTACAAGGAATGCTCAAACTATTTATTAATCAGATGGGAGCGCTGAACACCCATCAGAGCAGTGGCACCTTGTAGGTGCTTGTTTGGAGCAGAACATGATTATTGGCTCATTCTTTTCTGCACAGAAAGCTCTTGCTCTTGTTTCAGTGAGGAAAGACTTTAAGATCACACCCATTAGATAGTACAAAACCTAGCTGTCTCTGAGTTAGCACCAACTCATGGAGACTCCACGTGTGTCAGAGGAGAACTGTGCTCCACAGGGCTTTCAATGGCTGATTTTTCAAAAGATCACCTGGCCTTTCTTCCAAGGCACCTCTGGTTGCACTCAAACCTCCAACCTTTCAGTTAGCAGCCGAGTGCACTAACCATACGCATCACCCAGGGTTCCCAAACAGCGCACAGGGCATCCATAATCTTGGCATTCCAACGCTGCTTGCTCCCCTGCCTTAACTTTTAGGGGTCTTAGTGCTTACATGGCGTTTCTAAAGCACTCAGAAACATCTAAATGTCCACTTGGTATCTCCTAAGTCACACATTTCCAAGGGGGCAGAACTGATGTAAGACCAGCTGAAACACCTCAGGTAACTTACTCAAGCTCTCTGTGTTTCAGTTTTCTCACCTGCAAAATGGAGCTAGTAATGGCACCAACCTCCCAGGTCTGCTGGGAGAACTGAACGGGATTAATATTTGTAAAGCAATTAGAACAGTATTTGTTAAATAAATCCGTAAGACCAGCTTTGAGATTCTAACCTATGCAGCACAGAGATCAAGAATCAGTATGAATCTTTGATCTACAAGTATAGACTTGGATGTTTTACTCTCTCTTTCTACAAGGAAACCAGCTGCTTCTTTGTAAAATAACAGCCTGATCCTCCAAGGCTGGAAGTAGAGGAAGTCTCTGCTTGGGATCTAGCTACTGGTTCAACGAAGCTGGTGCGGTTCCTATATGTGGTAGCAGCCGTGGAAAATGGGGAGATCTCCAATGGAAGGTAAATCCCAAAGTCGGGAAATAGAGTTTTGAAGTCCACCTTCCTGCCACCACATGAAAATGCTTCCTCCACCACTAGTCTTCACAAACAGGGTGTTATTCTTTACACTTTTCACCCAAGAAGGCAGTCCCTTGGTTAACGTGCTGGGCTGCTAACTGAAAGGTTGGAAGTTCGAATCCACTCAGAAGTGTCTCAGAACAAAGCCCTGGCAATCTACTTCTGAAAAATCAGCCATTGAAAACCCTATGGAGCATAGTTCTACTCTGACACACATGAGGTTGCTATGAGTTGGAATTGACTCAAGGGTAACAGCTTACGGGATCAACTGGGCCTCTTTTTCCCAATGAAAGAGAAAGTCACATTGATGTTTTCCTCTAGGATCAAGACGTACCATTGGTTAGTGGGTCCTGGGGCAGTGGGTGCTGATATTAGGTGACAAAGGCAGCAGGAGTATCGGGGAGACAGGTGGGTAGTGTCAGTCTCATGGGTACTACAGTGGACTGGGATAGTGCTTACTTGCAGTCATGCTTCTCGATTTCGAAGTGAGGGTTGAAGTTGAGGACAATCTTCTGGTTGGGTTCGGGGGCATAAACAATCCACTCGCAGTTCTGGTGGGAGGGATAATCCTGGGGATAGCCTGGGGAGGTGATGTAGCCAGCATCCTTGGAATTCAAACGACCTCCACAGGGTGGGTCTGAAAGAGAAAGCAAACAACCTAAGAACTTCAAATATGTTACCGCTTTTCCCCCCTCTCCTGTTTCTCTTCTCTACCGGTGGCCGATTAAAACTCTTTTACAGACCTTTTATGGCAGTCTACAAGGCTAACCTACTTACTCATTCAGTGGAAGAGATATTTTAGCTCACCCACCCCCCCAACACACACACACACACACACACACACACACTCACTCTCCAAATGGAAATATTCCAGAAAACGGTCATAAATATTCCTGATTACGTGGTCTGAGATTAGAAAAACAAGAAAGCTGCAAATTTAACATGCTTCCCTGCCTTTTCCTGTCTCCCCTCTTTGGCCCATCTTCCTTCTCTCGTTCCAACCTCCCATCTCTATCTTTATCTCATAAATCCTTCATTTCACTCGGTGGCTCCCAGGCCAGCCCAGGCAGCCGGCAGTACAGGCTCCGGGAACTGACAATAGTGGTTTTGTGGTGCCGACCCACAAGCCAGCCTGGTAACAATTACATGGGATGCGGAGGAAGCACTTTCAGCTTTGGGCCAGAACCCACCCTGGAGGGTGATTTCCAGCTTTTTTTTTTTTTAGAAAGAAAAAGCAAAATCTCTAAACATTTAATTTTGCATAAACCACAAATTCTATTTATTATTTCATTATACACCGAGTGGAAAAATCTGTACTGGAGAATCCACTCCCTCCAACCTCAGAGTTTTCACAAAGGTGCTTTGTGCTGAACGGACTCGTGTGTTGTTTCCATGCTTTTCTGCTCACTGTCCCTCCTGCCTGGTCACCACCACCAGAGTGTGCTGCTGCTTTATCCAGCTGTCACCAGCCATTTGCAAGGTGGCTGCAGGGGAGTAGCTGACTCTCCCCTACCCAGCGGTACCTGGCTGGAGGTTAACAGTGCCATGTGGGCCAGGAAGGAAGGGGGGCGATCGTCAAAGGCAGCAAACGTGGGTGATGACATTTGAAGAAGCTCACATATTTGGGAGTAAAGTTCTGCAGTCCCCAGGAGGGGTTCTTGGGAAACGGGGGGTTTTGCTTAATGCTGCAGCAGAAAAGAAGACAGGAAGGTACGAGAGAAATGGAAATATTGAGAAGCCACTTGGAGGCATTCCTGAGATGTATGGCTCTCTTAACATCAATCACGATTTAATACCGCCATCTGCACGGAGCAGCGTGGGCCCGTGAATTATGTATTACGGCTCAGCAGCCACCCTCCAGGATGGGGTCTTTCTCCTGTGTTCTCTCTTTGAGGCAAAGGGTCATGCATTTTTTAACTCTACAGGTGCACTTGACTATTCCCCATGTTTGTTGGCATTATTGTCTTCCAGATCTCTGCTTTAGATTACTGCTTGACAGGCTTTAAATGCATAAAAGGTGGGCACGCCACACAATGGTGGTTGGGACACACAACTCCAAACCAGTAGCCTTTTAGGCACTGCGCCTTCCAGAGCTCAAACTGTGCCATGCTGAACTGCCAGAATCTAATGGATTCAGGTTCCATTTCCTACTGGGTGGAAAACAAAAGCAGGCCACTTCTCCTGGCTAGCAGAGACCACATCATCCTCTACCTAATGACAGTGCACCCTTCCCAGTCCAGGAGGACAATGAGCCCATCCTCACACCCAAACGCCAATGAGGCCAGCCCTGAGGCCCCAGGCTGCCTGCTCCTCTGCAGCCAGTCCCTGTAGGCATTCCAGGTGCCCACACCACTCACCCACATTGGGCACCCAGCATCTTCCGGAAGTTTTCAGATCGTGGCCCATTGCTCCTGGCTCATGAATGTGAAATAGGGCCAAAAGTGGTCATCTGAGAAAGCAGAGGAGTAGGTACTTAGGTCACCAGCTGCTCTTGCCAAGCTAGCAGAAGAGCAAATCTTCTACTAGGTAGAGTTTCTTTAAGGTCTCTGTGTAGCGCAAACCATTGGCACGCGACTGTTAACATAAAGGTTGGCAGTTCAAACTTACCCAATGGTACTGTGAAAGAAAGGCCTGACGACCTGCTTCTGTAAAAATTACAGCCAAGAAAACCCTATGGACAGGAAAGGATTACCCAATAAGCAAGGTATGCACAGACTTACTTGTGCTTACTTACTAATCTGTAGTGCACAATTTCAAAGTAGTAGTGCAAAAATTTGTAGTGCACAAATTTCAAAGATGTGGTGAACCCATGTGAAATTGTGCACTACAGATTAGTAAGTAAACACAAGTAAGCCCATGCATACCTTGCTTACTGGTTAATTCGCCCTTGCCTATGGAGCAGCTCTATACTGTAACACTCGAGGTCACCAGGAGTTGGAAGTGACTGGATGGCAATGAATTTGGTTGGTTGGTTGTTTGCTTTGTTTTGTTTGTTTTTAGAGCTCCTTTGCCAGTTATTTTGCAGAAAACTGCGCCCATAATATTAACTACACCCCCAGCCATACGTTTTGACTTGGAACTCATCAGAAGAAACCTGAGCTGAGCTCCTGTTTAGTAACCATTATGATTTCCATATCATCCATACTCTCCTCCTCCTTTCCCCATCCTTTCTCTCCTTCTCTCCAACTACTCTTGAAAGAAAAACTTCTCCCTCTCAATTCCTCACACCCAAGATTTAAGCTCTTAGTAATTAGAGACCAGGCAATGGTCTAATTGCTGTCAGTAATAAAGACCGAAAACTTCCTCATAGGAAGTTTTTATTTCTCATTCACAACAAAAGTGATTACTTCCCCACTTAATTTTTTTTCAACTATATATATCCCATAGCAGATAGTCTACATTTTCTCTGTTCAAAAACTTACTTAATTAAGCAAAGGAAAAAGAAGTAGCCCATTTCTCTTTTCTGTCCTTTCTTTATCTTAAGAAAATCAAGGCATTTATTAAAGTATCTGAGAAATCATAAAAACATCTGCTTTGGTTGTGTGTGGTTAACCTCTTCAATACCCAAACATTTATATACTCAACATTCTTATTTGGATCGCACTCACACGCAAAAACACACACAAACACAGATACTGAACACACATCAGTTACATATACATATTAGTAATTCACACTTTAGTCCTGTACACACTTTCTCACCTTCTCACAAAATATCACACATCATTTGCACAGACGTATATCCACAAAGATAAATACTAGAATTTCCATCTCTATTTTTCTTGGAGAAAACAGTTCTTGAAATCCGTAAGTAAAAATTGTCAAGAAAACATACTTAATCCTTCTACACCTCCTCTTGATAACTGATCTTTCATTTCCAGGTTTGGGGGTTTCTGAAACACACGCATGCCCCGAATTGAAATTAGGTAGAATTTCTTCTGAAGAGCTCTATTAAGCTTCACTTTGGGGGCCTTTATTGTGTGTTCCAAAATGAAATTCACACATGCTTTCTGTCCTGTTTTAGAAGAGTCCAGCCCAGCCAAAGGAGAGTTGAACTCAAGGGCAAACCCCTGAAGGCCAATCTCCACACACAGATGGGAAGTTGACCCTGCTGAAGTTTGAGCTACTGGGCCTGTTTGGTGAGTTGACAAGGGCCTTCATTCTCCAGCTATTTCATGAGTACCTTTCACCTGGGGCAAATCCATTTCCCAAAAAGAAGTAGCAAAATCCAGGCCTGGACTGTTCAAGGCAAGTTTCCTCTACATCAGGGAGAATTGGGCCAGGCCAAGCCAGATAAAGACCTGAGGGCCAAGGATGAAAGGATTAAAGTGACACCACTAGATGTAATTTGAAAGAAAGAGAACAGTAAATTATAAAGTGTGAGGAAGTCCAATGAAGTTCTGACTTGTTTCTCCCATAATGACTCCTTAGGTGCTTTTATTTGAAATGTAAACGTCAAATAGTTTTAAATCTCTCTTTTTCCTGGTTTGTTTGTTTTTAGTTTTCTTTCAGGTGCCCTTGCTTTGCTGGTGGGCTGAGCACCATCTGGTGCTGCCTGGCAGTAACCCGGCCCAGGATCTGGTAGAGGATTATGTATTCATCCATTTATAATTCTAAGTCACTTGGCCAACTTCAGAAGGAGCTCATCCTAGTACAAAATCCAATTTAAGAAAAATCACAGGTCCCTTGGTAATTAGGAGACTCTGGGTAGCACAAAGGGTTAAGCACTTGATTACTAGTTGAAAGGTTGGCAGTTCAAACCTACCCAGAGGTGCCTTGGAAGACAGGCCTGGTGATCTGCTTCCGAAAGATCACAGCCTTGAAAACCCTATGGAACAGTGCTACTCTACACACATGGGGTCACCACGAGTCAACGACAACAACATGACCAACTCACGGTGACCCTATGTGTGTCAGAATAGAAGTGCACTCCAAAGGGTTTTCAATATATATATATATATTTTTTTTTTCCCCCAGAAATAGATAACCAGGGTTTTCTTCTGAGGCATCTCTGGGTGGACTCAAACTTCCAACCTTTTGGTTAGCAGGTGAGTGCTTTAGCCATTTTCACCACCCAGGGACTCCTAGGAAGTATTAGGAAGGGGTAGGGATAAAAGAAGCTTTTAAAATATCTGTGCTGCCTTTTAAGGAAATTAGAGTTGTTTTAAAGAAACACAGTATGGCCTAAACTTGATGATAATATTTGCTAAAAACCAAGGCCTAACTGTAGTGAGGACTCTTAAATAATCAGAATTACAATGGCTTACAATGGCTTACCCCACAACAGCCAGGGACTCTACTTGGTGACACTGCTGGCAGCCCTGGGGTACAGAAGAACAATCAGATCAACTGGTTAGTCGAACTGAAGGAAAGAGTCCTTGGCAAAAACAGGGGAACTTGGAAACTGGCTGGGTGGGGGGTTGGTGAGTCAGCCTGTTGTCAGAGGTGGATCTGGGGTAATGGGACTGGGTTATCACGAAAGGGAGAGTATGACATTAGCAAGAAGAAGGGATGCAACCTCTGGATCCTTAACTCAGTGTGACTTTCCTGAGTCTCAGCTTCCTAAACTGTAAAATGAGTGGACTGAATTAAGTCTATAGCTCTCAATTTTCCTTTTAGAGGTAGTACTTTTTATTTTTTACCTCAAGCAAAACTCTACCCAGAACCCCAAGGTTCAAAGCAGATAAAAGTGGAGCTCTTCTTGGGTGCTGGGAGAGAGGGTAGCCAGGCCCCTCCCTTCATCCCTGAGGGGGTTTCTCTGCAAGGACATCTGGGGCCTTCATGGAATATGGTTTGAAGCCCACTGAATTAGATCTTAACTCCCTTATTACTTAAAATGACATAGAAAAGAGAAAGAGTAAAAGGATCAGAAGACATCTATTTCTTATATACACCTGAGGGCACTGGGAGAAGAAAAGCATTTGGTCTCATTTCCCCTAAAAATAATATCCTTTATTTACTTTATAATTTATCCTTTATCCACAGCATAATTCCATCCTGTCCCTATTTCCACAGCACTGTTTTCATTTAATTATTAGTAAACTCTTTCCCCTACTTAAAAAGAGAGAAGTTTGTCACCTTGCCACTTACTCCAACAGGGCAGTTTACTGGGAATATTATGGGGCAGGGAGTAAGAGCCTTATAATCAAGTCTGGTCTCACGACTGGCTAGCTGTGTGACCTTGGGTAAGTTATTAAATGTCTCTGAGCCTTCGTTTTCTCATCTTTATGAGGTGAGAGGAGAGTGATTCTAAAAATCCCAGTTCTGTTGTTATGTGCCATCTCCGATCCCAACTAATACTGACCCTATAGGACAGTAGAACTGTCCCACAGAGTTTCCAAGGCTATGTCTTTACAGAAGCAGATTGCCATATCTTTCTCTTGCAGAGCAGCTCATGGGTTTAAGCCTGCTAACCTTTAGGTTAGCAGCCGAGAACTTAACCACTATGCCACCAGGGCTTCTTAAGTCTGTTCTAGCTCTGTATAATTCAAAGTCTGTATAATGAGGTGCTAAATGAAGAAGAAAGTGGCATCAGGATTGGAGGAAGACTCATTAACAACCTGCGATATGTAGGTGACACAACCTTGCTTGCTGAAAGTTAAGAGGACTTGAAGCATTTACCGATGAAGACCAAAGACTACAGCCTTCAGTATGGATTACACCTCAACATGAAGAAAACAAAAATTCTCACAACTGGACCAATAAGCAACATCATGATAAACGGAGAAAATATTTAAGTTATCAAGGATTTCATTTTGCTTGGATCCACAATCAATGCCCATGGAAGCAGGAGTCAAGAAATCAAACGAAGTAGTGCATTGGGCAAATCTGCTGCAAGAAACTTCTTTAAAGTGTTAAAAAGCAAAGATGTCACTTTGAGGACAAAGGTGCACCTGACCCAAGCCATGGTATTTTCAGTCGTCTGGTATGCATGAGAAAGCTGGACAAAGAGTAAGGAAGACTGAAGAAGAACTGATGTCTTTGAATTATGATGTTGGCGAAGAATATTGAATAGACCATGGACTGCCAGAAGAATGAACAAGTCTTTTTGGAAGAAGTACAGCCAGAACGCTCCTGGAAGCAAGGATGGTGAGACTTCATCTCACGTACTTTTGACATGTTATCAGGAGGGACTAGTCCCTGGAGAAGGACATCATGCTTGGTAGAGAAGAGGGTCAGTGAAAAAGAGGAAGAGCCCCGACTGGATGGATTGACACAGTGGCTGCAACAATGGGCTCAAACATAGCAACAATTGTGAGGATGGTGTAGGACCAGGCAGTGTTTCATTCTGTTGTACATAGGGTCGCTATGGGCTGGAACCAACTGGAGGGTAACTAACAACAACAACATAAAGAGGTGCAGAAGAAAGGCCTGGTGATCTTTCCATAATGGTTACAGCTGAGAAAACCTACGGAGCACTTCTACTCTATAACACAGGGGGTCACCATGAGTCAGAATCGACTCAACAGTAACAGATTTTTTTTTTTTTTTGGTTTTATAACAAAGTGGGGGAAAGATCCCATAACCCATAGATTGAACCAAAAATTAAAAAGACTCTCTACCCTCCTTTGCTGGGTAAGCTTCAAACAAAACTTCAAGATTCTTTGGATGAACATGTCTGTCTTACATTATGGAGAGTTCAAATGTCTCTTTTAATCACATTAGCTCTACTGACGTGGTTTCTTTTCTTAACTGAGTCTGTGGCTGCGTATTTATAAATATTATGGATGCACAGTTCTGTGTGTGAGCATGTCAACAACAGTGATGCATGAAAAGAAAGACCAAAAAGAGTTTCTTCAAATCCCTTGCCCAGATCATCTAAGTCCTTTGCTCAGCGTTTTAACCAATTTTTTTTTCACAAGCTCTGGATAAGCTGCTTTTTAAGAGTTATTTCTGTGATCTGAGGCTGGATTTTGTTTTATTCAAAGCGACTTCAGCCTGTCACAAGACAGTCTCATAAAATCTGTATCTTGGCTTAAGCTGGGAAGAAATGAGCCAATCCATCAGCCCAGGAATGCGGCTGTTTGACCACTTCCTAAGGCAACTGGGAAGGGATGCAATCTATTCAATTTATGGGGCCAGTGGCAGTGAAGGATACACTCCTGAAGGAACAGCAAATGGAAATCTCTGTGAACTTTTGCAGTGATAAAGTTCAAAATCCGAATAAAAGGGCCGTCAGGGAGGAAAGGAGGAAGGGAAGCAGAGAGCGGGAGAGGAAGCCTGCACATGAGTATGAGTGGCAGTGTGGAAAAAGGAGTAAGGAATGAAGCAAACTGCCTCTTCAAAAACACCTATGATGATTTCACATAGGAAAGAACTGCAAATTGGGTTTGGGAAAAAACAAAAAACAAAACCGAACCCATTGCCGTTACATGGCGACCCCGTATGTTACAGAGTGGAACTGCTTCATAGGGTTTTCTTCACCGGAATCTTAACAGAAGCCGTTCACCAGGCTTTTCTTTCATGGAGTGGCTGAGTGGGTTCGAACCGCCAACCTCTAGGTTAGCAGCTGACTACAAACCACCCGTACCACCAGGGCTCCTAAATCTGGAAATACAGCCTTTGAAAGGTCGCTTTTCCTCAATCTGGATGCTAAAAACGAACGCTTATTTAATGGTTAAAATCTGACTTTGATGTGATTACCTTCCCTGACCTCAAATCATGCCACCTGTGGTAACCTTATTATTTGTCATCTTATATCATAAACAAATGCAATTCCAATAGGGCAGCCAATATAATATCATTAGTTTATATTTATGTCCTCTCTTTCCCAGCCCTCGCTGCAAATGCAATTTTGATACCATTGATGAGAGATCTGGGATTACAATTCCTGACCATTTCAACAGACATTTGGGAAAGGAAATAGAAGAATCATTTTGAGGTTTCTCCAAAAGAAAAAGAAAGTGGTGGGGGGGAAGGCAACACAATATTTTTTCATTTATTTTGATTAACTGAAAGCTTGTGTTGAAACGTCAATGGCTCCCCATTGGTTAGTCAATGAAATCCAAACCCCTTGGTCTAGTAATTTGGGCCTTGCATTTAGTCATGCTATTATTTCCAACCTTGTTTGCAATTTTTCCCCTCCACACATTCTAAACTATAACTTCTGAGTGTTCCTCAAATACAGTGTCCTGTTCTCTGCTTTCACCGTTCCTTTCACGTTGGATGCCTTTCCCAGCTCTAAAGCTCATTGATCCTCTCAATCCTGGCTCAGATGCCACCTCCTCTATGGAGCCCTCCCTGATCTCCCATACCAGGAGTATCTTTCCCTTCTCCATATCTCAAATGCTAAGACTGAAACTCTTTAGCATCTTCTAAGAGATGGCCTTATGAGTTCTATTGGACCAAAAGCAACTTTCTTTCTGATTGTTCTTTATAGGATCAAACCCAGAGCCTTTCCTAAATGTTAGACTCAATTTTGATGAATTAATGAATTAATAATTGACTAAGGAATACAAAAAGTATCACTAGGTATCACAAATCCTAAGAAAGTGTGATTACAAGTTGTTCTGCTTCTTCAGCTACTACCCTTCCTGCCCAACCCACAGCCGTTATTAAACACAAATGTTTTTTAATGGTGAACAGAGAGCTTAAATAACTTGTATGGGATAATAATACCTAATCCCAGGTCAGGGTAGAGTTAGTGTGAACTATTTCTCCGAGGACACACTAACCTTAGATAATATGACAAAGTTAAAAGGGTACTTACATTTTAATTATGATAATAGTCAAATTAATTTATCTGAGGGTTTTCTTTCTCCCTTACTATAACCACCAACCCTCCCAAAGGCAAATTCTAAATATTTGTTGTCAGTAGCACCAGGAAGATACAAACTATTAGTTTATCACCAAACTATTAGTTGGTTGCAGACTTTCTCTTGCTTGGTTTTAGCTCACATCGTTCTACTCAACTCCTCCCCATGTCCCTTCCCCTGGTCCCCAATATGCCTTTTGGGCATACCGGTTTTATTTTCCCCCTTTATCAAAACAATTGTTATTACCATCCAGTCCAGTAATTTGCAATTCCCTTTATCTTCTTCACTGAAAGACTCACTAGAACCTGGATCACTGCTTATCATGGGATCTTAGGAGGCTGTGAGCAGGGTGTCACTGGACATGTGTATTATGCTGGCCTGGTCAGGAGCCTCATCCACTGCAGGCTACTGGGGAGGGCTTTCCTTTTGTTATTTCCAGCCTTCCTCCCCTTTTTCTGCATCAGATCATGGCTCTTTTATGAAGACCCACAGGGAAATGAGATTATTAAGAGTCTTGCTGGGTAAAAGCTATTTTGTCTTTAGGACGCCTTTTTTTTGAGTTCAGCTACTGAGGGGCCTTAATGCCAGAGTAGAAGTTATTACATATTCCGGAGAGCGCCTTAAACACAGCGTTCCCTACTGAGTACACTTTCAGGAATGAAGGGTGGAAGGGGAGGAAAAGGAAAGGAAAGAATAGAGAAAGAGGGAGAGAGAGAGAGAGAAATAAAAGTAGAGGCAAAAACACTAAACGCATAAGAACAAGGGGAAAAAAAAAAGAAGATGTAAATCTAAGATGAGACGCCAGCAGAGAAGATCTACCTGTGAAGAATAGTGTGGTGAGAGATAATCTGGTGCTTATAAAACACAGACAAAGGTTTTAGTGGGATAAGAGCTGAGAATGAATAATTATTTATTGCCCCCGCCAAATCTCATAAAAATAACATAAACTTACCACAATGGATATAGTGTGCTTTCTATGATCATGAGATATAGTGAATCCCAATAAAAGCTGTCTTAAAAATTAAGTGATGTCCAAATAGGCTTAATATGTGCCAAACAGTATTCTATGTACTCTGACATAGCACAATAACCCTATGAGGTAGTATGATTATTACATACGTTTTACAAATAATGAAACTGAGGCACAGAGAGATTAAGTATGCTAATCACACAAGATTCCTTGGATAGCAGAGCTGGCCAGTGGCTGAACTGGCTTCAATGCCTCAGAAGCTAGAAGTCCAGTGAGAGTTCCTCCCAAAACTTTTCAGTTACAAACTTATTCGGTGACATTTTAGGGAAAGACACACATGTTGCCTGTTTGAAAATCCCTTTTTCTCTCCCTGTGCCAGTAATCTTTTCTCTCCCTGTGCCAGTAATCTGTGTGAACAATGAGAGATGTGTCTAAAGCTGGGGTGTGAGTGGGCTGGAAGCACTTAACACCTTCTCTGCTCCCAGTACACATACGCGCTCCTTGTCATCCTGGCCCTCTTTCCTGTGCTCTGGTAACCCGGGAGGATAGGATACTTGGGTTTGAAACCCTGTGTCACGACACTGGAGGGTTGCTGGCAACTCCCCTTTCTCTCCTTTCTTCTCAACCCCACTCTTCCCTATACTAAATACCAGATTGTTATTGTTCTACTACGTCGGAGCAGCATTTTCAGAAATGGGGGATTTATTTTTATAGCACAGCTGGTCTGCCAAAGGTCACATAATTTGGCAACATTCCCAGTAGTTAAAAATTAATTTCTCCTTATTAATACAACCAAGGTCCCCTAGGATCGGAGCTCAGCCTTATCTAAACTTGACAGCTTCCTAAACCTTTAGAAGATGCTTTCTCCTGGAGGGCCAGCCATGACACAAGGCCACTGTGTCCTGGAATCCAACCCCACTGAATCTGGCTAGGTAATGAAACCACTGAGCCTTTGGCCATTTCTCATCAGGTCAGATGAAGTTTTGAAAAATGCTATAGGCTCTCCAGGATAAATTTCTGCAGCATCGTCCAGGAATGAGTTAATTAGGGAAAAAAAAAAGGCAAATTCCTTACCTGGAAGAAACAGAACATAGACTGACTTCTGGGAATCAAAACACATTTCTGCCACTCAAGAAGGGTACCACAAAGATTGTCCAGGGGCAAATGATGGCCAGACAATAAATTACCTCAAATATGTTAACGCCCACTATTAATGTCAATTAATCACTGCCCACACTTCACCTTCTAAGTACTTTCTCATCAGTTCAAGAAACTTAAAAAGATACTCTGCTCCATCCTTTAAATAATAGGATCTCATCTCTATTTCCTAAACTATTTCCAACTAGACCTTTGGGGAATATACCTGAAAACTCTCAATGAACTTGGCTCTGAATTCTGTGAACTTAGAATCGTTCCACACTTGGGTCATCCAAAGTCAGCTCATTCTCTTGATTGCTTTCATGAAACAGTGAGTGAAATGAAAAACACCAGAGTAGAGGCCTTGGAATCATCTAGCCTGTGTTCTCTCTCCTCTTAGGAGTCTCCTGGACTCCCCCCTCCCCCACCAGGTGCCTCCCCAACTGTTATTCTCATTCATGCCTCATTGCATGTAAATTGGCATTTGGACTCCTTTGCTTTTTCATACTATGAAGATAGGAACTGGCCTTTCTGTTGCAGAATGTGGACTTCATATTGAGCAGTGGGAGAGGAGAGCCATTTGGTGGACAGTCAGAGTTCTGTCTGGACAGGCCAGGTTCCAGTCACTGCACCCTCCCAGCCTTTCATTTTGCCAGTTGGGTGCTCTATGGCTTAACGTCTGAGGGCTCCAAGGGATGACATAAAACTCAAAATGCACAGTGCAACCTGGGTATTCACAATTCGAGCAGGCACATCTTGGACAAGTAGGGGCCTCCGCTGAAGCCTTCTTGGGGAGCTCTCTCCTTTCCACTGTTTTGCACTGTGTGTTCTGTTGGCAAATGACAACGGCTTCACTACCTTTAGTGGCTGCTTAGGGGGTAGTTTACTGGGCACCCACTGAATGTGGGCATTAGACCCGAGCCCAGAGCAGCTGTCTGTGTAGAATCTAGGAGTTTAGAGTTTTGTCTTGCAAATCATTATGCCTGCCCACGGCCAGCCCACAGATTGGGGAGACAGACTAAAAGAAACCCTCTTGAAACCCCGACCTGGCGCCTAGACTGTCATTCCTTCTCTTTCAGGATTTGTTTGAACCCAGACCTGTTCCCCACAGCCAATTTACACCCCTTATCTGATCATCCAGTCCAGGCAGAAGGTTGAATTGACCACGTCTGCCCGTGTCCATGACAATGGTGTTAAAGCCCAAACACAGATCAAAGCTTTCCTAGAGGTGGGGGTGGGGGGTGGGAGGGTGGTTATACGGCCGGGCTCTTTTGGCTAAGCGCTCTTTTGGCTAAGAGTGGTGTGTGCGGAAGGTGGGGACCTTAGGGCTAGGCGTCGCCACCTTTTGAAAAAGCCCGCCCATCGCCAGTTTGATTGATTCCTTGAGCAAAACCCGGTCGGACCACGACTAACTCCAGCAAAAAGGTTTTTGCGTGGCCAGGCGCAGACGCATAATGGCTAGCGCCAGGGGGCTCTCCACTCGGTCTGAAACCGAAAGGAAGGGAGGGGAGACAGCTGAGCAGTGAGTGAGCACAAGTCAATAAACCAGGCGTCGATCCCCTCCCCTTCCAGAAGAAATCCTACCGGAGCCGCAGAAGCTGCAACACGAAGAGTCGGATCCTCTAAGCTCGGTTTGGAAAGCTGATTCCTGCCCGGCTGATGACTGCCAGAGGGGCGACCCCCCCCACACACCCCGAACTCCGGACAATCAGCTCTGCGGCTCTCCCCACCCCTCACCAAGCGGCGGGGCGCCCGGGGTCCTGGTGGGAACCGCTGTTGCGCCGTCAGCCCGAGGCTAAGGGCGGGGGGGCACCATTTAATCACAGCTCTCCTCGCCTCTGTTAGCTTGTGTTGATATTAAAAAGAAATCAGTCAGTGAAAATGAAGCCTTGGCCGTGAATATTTCTTTTTCTCACGTGGAAAAGCAAAGAGCGAGGCGGCAGGGGAGGGGAGGAGGGAACTCGCCTGCAATACCAGAGGCTTTCCCCGGGGAGAGCAGCGCTGCCGCAACTTAACTTTCCGACATTGGGCAGCGTCGAGGAAATGCCGCAAGCTTCTCCCTGGGGGTGTCTTAAATCAGTAGAAGTCGGAGGGGACCGGGAGTTGGAAGCGGCCAACTTCACCAAGGCTTGAGCCTCGGTTTTGCTTTCGCTGGGAATATTTTTGCCTAATAGAATGTTTATGGATCTCTCGGCTGTTTCTGCTGCGTAGCCCAAACAAATCGATGTGGCGTTAGAGACGGCACTGGTTACTGAGGGGTGGGGGCAGTCTGGGGAGGCCACCACGTCCTCACCACGTGGATACCCGCGCGCCGCGTGCTCTTCACCTGTTTCTGCGCACTGGCGGGCGCTCAGCGCCCAGCGCTTCAAGAGGAGGTGCAAATTGCGCGCGTTTCCGCGGTTCCAGCTGGCTCCTTCCCGCCTCTCTCCGCCCTCCGCTCGGAAATCCCACCCCGGCTTCCCGCCACCCGGCTCGGCCAGTGCCTGCGTCCCCGACCCCGCCAGCCCCGGGTCCCGCAGAGCCAACTCTCCATGCGCGGCGGAGGGCATTTGGCGCAGAGTAGAGCTGGGGGGCGGGGGGATGGGGGGCGCGCCAGGCTGGGCAAGCAGCCCTGAGTACCCGGGCCTGGGAGGGAGGAAGGCAGGCGGCAGCGTGGCGGCGAGAGGGGAATCTGGTGCGAGACGCCCATGCGGCCTCCCTGCCGCCCACCAGCCGCCGGGACCGCGCGCCGAGGCCGCGGGGCTATTTGCTCAATGGCTCTCCTGTGCGCACCTTCCGCCGTCCCTTTCCACTGACTCTCCTTCTTGGAATCGGTTCCTGCCGAGGGTGGCGGCGGCTGGGCCGGGCCCCTTCCCGGCCGGCGCGCACCGGGTGAGTCAGAGATCTCGATCGGCCTCGCCCTTTGCCACCCGGTGCCATATCCCCGGGTGCCAGTCGGCTGCTCCGGCTGAAAGCCTGAGGGGCCCGCGGCATTCGATTGCCTTTTGGGTGGCCTGGAGAATATTCACCCGGAGCAGGTTCCGGCTGCCCGCGCGGCCTCGTGGTGGCTTGACTTGCCCCGCGCCTCTGGGTTTCTCTGGAAGTGACGAAGCGCGGTCCCGGGTTGGGAATGGGAAGGGGTTCTGCAGAGAGCGCGGGAGGCAGGTGGCAGAGCGGGAGTGGATCCGAGCGGGTGTCGCACACAGACGTACACACACTCCAAACAGCACTCGGGGACAGATGTGCGAACATCTGGGTTGGAGATAGCCCCTGAGTCTTCACACCTCCTGCTCCACACAGCACACGAAACCTGAAGGGGTGTGTGTGTGTGTGTGTGTGTGTGTGTGTGTGTGTGTGTGTGTGTATGTGTGTAGATGCGCGCTCTCGCGCGCCAGGGCCTACCGGAGTCCGTTTCTGAATACGTAATGTACCGTCCGCACCCTCACTGCGCGCGTGTACACACACAAACTGCGCGCGTGTACACACACACACACACACACACACACACACTCACAGAGCAAATCACACAAATATACATAATTTATGCAACATCCCGGTCTGTGGGAGGTAATTTAATTTCTCTTCAAGCTGGGAATTTAGAATTAAGGCAAGAGGAATGAGAGGCACAGGGAATCTCCCCAAGTGTGACCTGCACCCATCCCTTTGATACGGTTTGCAGCTGCCCTGAAGACCGGTCATGGCAGAGGAGCTGCAAACTGGGGAGTTGAGTGGCTAGCGCATTCCAGAATCTTCCTCCCCCTAAAATACACAACCAACCTTAAAGTGGGTGTGTGTGCGTGTTGGAGGGCCAGAACTGGAGTACCAGGCGCAAAGCTTCCCTTTAGTTAAACCAAGCTCTTACAGGACCCACTAGCCGATGTATGGGAGGATGCCCAGGCGGCTGCATGGGGTGAGCTCTGCAACTGCCGCCATTGCCTTCCAAGTGCCCCGGGGTAAGGGCACTTAAGGAAGGTTTTTTTTTCTCCTCTTTAATTTTCCCTCGTTCGTCCATTGCTGGTTTCCCCATCCCTAATCACCTGTAGCAGCTGCTTAGAGTTTTGTCAAATCCAGACACTGTTTTCAGAGGGGAGAGAGGGTCGCCCTGGAGTGTGGTCCCAGGAAGGAAGGACAAGCCCCACTGGATTCCCTGAAGCCAGAGATCCCTTCTCAGGGAGTGTGTCCCTGCCACTCCCCACAAATGCTGGCCCCAGACTGTTCTGGGCCTTGGTTCTTACCTCCGCAGTCCGTCCACACACCCTTTTTGGCAGTGGTTGAGAACAAATTCCACTCAAAAGTTTCTAACCACTTCACAAGACTGAGAGACCTTAGAGGGCCAGGCATTTTGCTTTACCTAATAATAATTTTTAAAAGAACACATGATTTACTTTCCCAGAAGACACATGGATAAGGGAAAGAGAGCAGGGACCATTAACCACCGTGGTTGCCAGAATCGCCCAACCCGAAGTCCCTGTCTAAGCCACAAACCAACTTGCTCCATCAGACGAGCCCCCTGATTTCTTGAGTCTTATCCACCCATTCCACGAAGAATCTACAGCACTGAAAATCCAAACTAGTCTCTTGTCTTTCCCAAGCCCTTCAGTTAACATTGCTCAATGTAGCTAAGTGGAGGGAATGCAAATGATTTATATTTCGCTGGCTAGGTTGAGGAAACTCAAGGGAGATGTGTTCTGCTTCAAGACAGGGGGAAAAAATCCCCAAAAACTGTAATGCAAAGGCTTTGTAGTATTTTTAAACCTTTGATTCAGTCCATATGTGACATCTGAACACCGCCAAATTCTGTTTCAAAACACACGCGCGCGCACACACACACACACATACACACACACTCCTAGCAGGAGAGAAAAGTTGGGTTTTGACTGTCTTGGTGGTGTAGGGAGGGCCAGCGGGGATCTCTTTAAATTATTGAGTATTGAGGGAGCCTGCTTCTGTACTGTGCCGCGTCGCCCACTGCATTAGCAGTCGCTTTTAAAGGAAAAGCATGTTGAAATTTAAAAACAAAAAACTTTCAGGGGCTTACCTGGTTGACCTCTCACTTCATGTCCTGAAAAGTAGAGCGCTAAGAAAACCCAGGTAAGAGGAAACATATCCATTTCGGAGGAGGCTTTCTCCAGAGCTGGATTTGGAGGCTTCTTGTATAATTAAAAGTCTTTGTGTTTTTTCTCTCTCTCTTATTTTCTTCCTTATAATGTCTTCTGCAAAGGTTTCTAATGGTCAGTATTTCCCTCCTGGGTCCTGACGGCCCGTCTTCACCTTTATTCTTGCTGGAATCCCCACCTCGCCCGAAGGAGGGTAGCTCCTGAAATCAGCAAAGGAGCAAGCCGGGAAGAGGGGACGAGTTTCCTCTCAAGAACAAAACACATGTATGTTCTCTTCAGTTCCTCAAAGTGTCATTTCCTTTATCCTACAACATCACGAATATTTCCCAAAAGCCAAATGTAAAAACAATAACAAAAAGAAAAGCCAAGACTTGCCGTGGGCATCGCACGGCTCCCAGGCAGCTGTGTGATCTCAGAGGCGTAAACTGACACACATCCCCCGGCACCCTGGACGGACACGCGAGCGGAGGCACCGACCGACAGACGGCGCGAATGGGAGGCGGCCCAACAGCTCTTGCCCTTGCCGGTTTCCCCCAGCGGGAGCCCCCCCTCCGACTACACCCGCTTGGTCAGCCTCACGAGGGGAGCCTGAGGAAGGAAGCTGCTGCTGCTGGCTGCTGCTGCTAGTGGTGCGGCGGCGGCGGCGGCGGCGGCGGCGGCGGCGGCGGCTGGGATCGCCTGGAGTGAGCGAGCCCCTCTCCGAGTTCGCCGGCGCCCGCCCTCACCTCCACCTCGCCCAGCGCCTCGCCGAGTGTCTGTGCGGCTGAGGATGTGCCAGGGGCGGGCTGTGGGCTGCTGCCTCTTTTGCCTTCTTTGCCTCCCCTCGGGCTCCCCCTTGCCTTTTCAGGCCGAGCCGCGTGTGGATGTCAGAGCCGCGGCAGAGCTATCCGATTACGCGCCGGCTCAGGGCCCGCCCCTTCTGTGTTCCTGATTAAAGAGGCAGCCGCGGAGACGCGCGGCGCAGAACCGTGGGCCGCGGCACCGAATTCGGGCGGGGCGGCTTCCCCGGCCGCCTCTGGATCAAAGTAAAGGCAGCTTCTACCCGGACGCCCCTCTCTCAGCCCGCACCCCCCGCCCGCCCTGCGGCACCTCCGTGCCTGGCCGCGCCTCCCGTGCGTAACGCCCCGTGGAAGGAGCGCCCGGGGCACCCACCACCAGGGCGCGCTGCCCTCGGCCACGTCGCGTTTACCCCGAGGGAGACTCCGCGGGAAGCGGGGGAAATCCTTGTTCCCCCTAAATTCCGTGACTCCGATGCCACCCACGCAGAGCCCAACACAATGCCACGCGCCATGGCGTTACGAGAGGCGCTGGGTGGTGTACGGTGTTTGGGGTAGGAGCTAGGCGGCAGCTCAGCCATGCGTTCGCACAGGCAGCAGTGCGTGGCGGCGACACACACCGTCAGCCCCTGGTGAATTAAACCCCAAACACTCCCTGCGTTTACTACTCAGATCCTTTATTGTGTCCCAAACGTGCTTCTCTGCTCTCCTGCTGAAGATGTAGCTATCCCTCCGCGCCTAACTTGTAGCTATCAGAAGAAGAGCAAAGACTCTTCAGGAAAGCATTTTTTGGGTAATTAAATTTGATTCCTTCTCCCATCTCCCCCGGCCCCCCGTACACGTACACGAAGGGATCTCCTTGAAATGCTACCATCACTACTTCTGTTCACGTTTTCCCCATGGAAATGTGGTGGTCACAACGCAAGAGAAAGAAAACTGCATTATGCCAACTATTTTTAAATGGAGGTGTGAAAGCTGTTTAGAGGGAACGGCAAGCTAACAGTTGGGGAAACACTTGTATCTTTGTTTCTGAGAATGGCTTTGTGGATTCCAAACTGTCTTGCTTCACGAGGCACCTATTACTATATTACCATAAAGACTATAAGAGGAATAGTTTAAATAACATCCTGCATATACCTTTTCTGCTATTCTGCAGATTAAAAAAATAAAGTTTCAGTGACACGAAGCACATATCTGATTCTCTCCTTTTCTTCTTTGCTTGTCTTTGTGGATTCTTCCGGGTGGTTTCCCTCCTTATCTCGACCTGCCATTAGCTTTGTTTATCACTTTTAGTGTTTGAAAAATCTGTAACTCCCACTTAACTGTTATTTGCACTGAGATAACCAAAACAAAATTGAATCAGAAGTGATTTGCAAATAGTTGAACCAAGCCATAGAGGGATTTTAAAGTGCCATGCAAATCCACAGGCTGCATATCACACTGTTAATCTTAGATGCCTTGTTTGAAAGGGCATAACAGAGGCCTGGTGAGCTCTTCCAGGGAGCTTATCTTCTGGCTGGGCTAAAGCTACCTTTCATTTTCTTTCTCTCTTCCTTCCTTCCTTTCTGTTTTTAAGGCTGGAGAGCACATCCACATTATTAAAAACTCCAAATTTACATTTTTCCTGTTTAAAGTTCGAATGTAAAGAGAGACTCCCATCTCTCGATATTTAATGAAGTAAAGAGGCAGTCTAGATTCTGAACCTTAAGCAGAGATCCCGGTTTATGTCCTTGCCAAGATGCTAATCTAAGGACAAATAACACTATCTGCAGTGACAGCCCCTGAATAGAGAGGAGTGTTTAGTATCACCTCCCCTCACCACCAGGGGTACCAAACCATTCCAGCAAGTACCCAGTGTGGGACAGTCCTGTTTCTGAGAATACCCTGATGAAAGTTTAGGTGAAGGGCATGGGGAGAGGGGAGAGGAAGGAGAGAAAAGGTAAACCTAAGGTCACTAAAGAACCCTAAGAATAAGAATTCTGGACTTCCGGTCTTGGGTCTCAAGGTTGAGGGCCCCATCAGGATACTTTCAGGGTCCTTGGTCTGGTAGGGAGAAGGGTCTGTCTTGGTTTTCTGTTCCTGGACCTGATCCCCAGCATTACGTATTTACATTTTTAAAAGATGTCCTAAAGGGGGAGCTAGCTTACTTCCTGCCAGTCCTCTGTACTGCCTGAGGCAAGACTTCTCAGCAGTCCAGCCAGGAAAGGCCTGACTTCCTGCAGTAGGACAGGGAGTGAGTCTTTAGTTCAGAGTTCTGGGGTCTTCAAGCGGCTCAATGCCAGACCAGTTTTAATCCTCTAGGGGGCAGCACTCAATAAATAATGGTCGCACCACCTTAGGTTGGTGTTGCTTTCACTTTTAGGCACTCAAAGTGCTTGACCAGAAAAATTCAGAGCGAGACCAGATCTCTCCCAAGTCAATCTGAACAAGACCTCACCGGCCCAGGGAGGGCTTAGAACTGTTTTAACCCAGGATTTCCAAGGACTCTTGGGAACTAAACACAAATCCCACACGTGCCCTGTGGAAAATGAACCTTCAGGGAAATTCTCCAGACTGGGGTTGGCTCAGCCACGCTTTCATCTAGACTGAGATCTCGGGGGTTTGGCTCCAGTTGGTTCTGTTTCAACCAGAGGAGCAGCGGTGAGGAGCCAGGCACTCGTATCTTCCAGTATTTTGTGAGTTCACGTCTATGACCCTTAGGGAAGCCTGTCTCCTGAAAGGCCAGTAGCATGGTCAGAAACAACAGCTAACAAGTGAGGCTGAGATTCCTGGCAGCATCATTACTCACCAAGGATGTTTTACGTCACTATCCTTAATTGTGAAATAATAATAGATAATCCCATCCTACATTCCATTCCTTTGACAGGAAGGGATGTGGGGAACATAAAAAACAGATTTGTAAATGATGCTAAGAGAAAGCTGTTACCTAGCCACACCCCAGAGGCTACCTTTCCCAGTGGAAAGTTGGGTGTTCCCAGCTAGACAGTCTCAAACCTGAGGGTGCATCAGAATCACCTAGGGAAAATGTTAAAAATTCAGATCCCTGGGCTCCATGTTCCTGCAGACTGGATTCCTTAGGCCTGGGGTGGTGTCTGGGAATTTGTATTTTTAATACACATTTTAGGTGACTTTGATGCAAATGCTTAACAGGCCAGCAGATGAGAACTTCTGTTCTGATATGTTATATTTACACATAGCTTTTAATATATACTCATCTGTTGAAGGACACCTGGAAAAATATTTCTTCACCTTTCCTCTCCAGGCACTTTTCAGATAGGGGCAGATGTTTCAAGAACATGTCCCTTAAAGTGCCAGAGTGGTGGGACTCCTAGAAATATCTGTGACAACAGCATCAAGAAACCTCACCTCTGGGGGTATGGCGGGCTGTGCCTGCGTTTTAGGAACATGTTCTAAGTACCAGTGATGGAGTTTATAGAACTGGATCCAGCCCTTTCACCATCAACCCACTCAACCCCTGGCTATTACTAGAGGTTTCTTTCAGGTAGGGTTTTCCAGACGTGTTCATCACAACTAAACCCGTTGCTGTCGAGTCAATTCCCACTCATAGCAACCCTGTAGGACAGAGAAGAACTGCCCTATAGGGTTTCCAAGCAGTGCCTGGTGGATTCAAACTGCTGATCTTTTGGTTAGCAGCCGAATTCTTAACCACTGTACAACCAGGTTTTCCTAAATTTATTCTCTCTTTTGTTGTAGCTGAAGTCCAGGTTTCTGGTCAATAGAATTTGTTCCTCTCTTCCACTCACCAGTACCACTCACCCCTTAAACAGTCAACATTTTTCGTTTTTTCAACACACTTCAATACTACCTAAATCTGTTGCTGTTAAGTTGAATCTGACTCATAGTGACAGTATAGGACAGAGTAGAACTGCCCCATAGAGTTTCCAAGGTTGTAATCTTTATGGAAGCAGACTGCCACATCTTTCTCCTGCAGAGCAGCTGATGGGTTCAAATCATCGACCATTCAGGTAGGAGCCGAGCATTTAACGACTGTGCCACCACTGCCTTGTAGTCTCTATTTTAGTATTTCCTTTGGCGAGTTCCCAGAATCCTTAAAGATTTCCATAAAATACTGAAAAATTCTTTACACTGTGCACATGTCTCATCACTTTCTCTGACACAGGCACCAGGTCTCACAGTAGGTAACCTTATGAATTAAAAAAAAAACGAAGGAAAATGCACAAAATCTACTTAACCATCACTGGAATCCTTGGTCTTCAAGTCATTTCCAACTCATGGTGACCTCATATGTGTCAGAAGTAGAACTATGCTCCATAGGGTTTTCAATGGCTGATTTTTCGGAAGTAGATCACCAGGCCTTTCTTCCGAGGTACCTCTGGGTGGACTCAAACGTCTAATCTTTCGGTTAACAGCCCAGCACATTAACTGTTCGTACCACCCAGAGACTCAGAATCCTTTTTAGCGGAAACTAAAGGAGTTATATTGCTCCCTCTACTTTGCTTGGCTTAATCATGAGGTAGGCCTCCCTCTGCTATGCTAATTTTCATACGTTTGAGGCATTAATACTTCAAAAAGAACTGAAAGAAGTACTTGCCAATAGAACTTTTCTACACTGATGGAGATAGCTGTGCTTTTCACGTAGCTCTTGGGCATTTGAAATGTGACTGGGTAACTGAATTTAAAATTTTATTAATTTAAATTTAAGTTGCCACGTGTTTAATGGCTACTATATTGGACAGCTTTGCTGTAGATAATTAGATGACCAGAGCCTGAGATTTTCCATAGACATCCATAGAAAGTCCATAAGGCTATCACACTCCTTCTGCAAGAAGGGACCCCAGTAGGAGCAGA